GTCCACCAACTTCCATCAAAAACGTAAGCCATATTTTTAAACGAAAGCGTTTTTTTTTCTTTTTAAACAGTTGGACAGAATTTTGAGCAGAAGAGTACCCCTACCAGCATTTATTACTTATCATTTAGCTCATTTCTGATTAGTACAGTAAAGGATGATCAACAGCACAAATTGTGTACACTTTCATAACAAATACCTCTTTAACATTCATTCAATTTTAAAATTATTCAAAATATGTTTTTAACATTGAATATCTTTCAATTGTATTCAATTATCAACATTCTATATCATCAGTTCAAATGTTGTAATTATTTTTCTAAGGTGCTTCAATTGTAACACACATATTTGTCTCTTGTTTTCTCAAATGATAAAACGAAAAGGAATAAATTCCAAAAATTGTAGTGCTTCTATTTGAACTTTCCCGGTATTCAACATCGAGATCATTTGTGACTAATTTAAAACAACACAATACAATCCATACAATTTTATACAGCATTCATTCTTTTTTACTGCAATAGTATTTGCACAATTGGAAAAAAATAGATTATTTAAAGATTTAAACAAGTGAATATCTTATTAAATATTATTAAACCTTAATTATTAATTCAACTCTTTTCTATTTCAAACTAAATTGAACATTGATCCTTTTAAACTATAAAATTTAAATTCATTATCATACAGAATGTTAGAAGATATTGAAGTGAACGAGAACACAGGTGGAGCAACCGAATTGTATTTAACGAAAATTACAGAGTTACTCAGTAAAATCGGAAAACCATATCGTAAATTGTTCATTTGCAAAAGATCAGTTCATCCATATCGAACTGGACTGTTCCTGTTGCAAACAACATCAATCCATTGTCACTATTAATGTGTTTCATACAAATTCCATTGTGTTCCCACTCTTCTTCCTTTCTTGATCTTCCCCCATCTTCTGCTGCCAGACATTACGTTTACACTCACGTCATATACTACTTATAAATAGCTCACACCACAATATGACTTAAATTTAAACTTAATTTAAACAAAATCATAAAATGCCTTACTTACCTAAACGAATTAAATGTATTGCTAAAAATTCTGTATATGGTAAAAGACATATTAAATGTAACACTGTATTTCCCATATGATTTTGTGCATTAATTGAACAATGACCATAAACAACAAGACGATATACTAAGCCAACAATTGCACCAATCCATTTTGAATAGAATTTATTTTCATGTTTCATTACAATAACACTATAATCATAACATTTTCTCATTAATTTCGGTATTGATACAATTAAATAATGCAATAATGTATTTCCAGTTTGTTCATCTTTAATATTTCCATCATTTTCATTGACTGATTTATGAGCTAACCATAAATCATGAATTGATTTACAATGATTAATTATAGTGTATAATTGTGATGATTGAAAATTATTATTCTGTGAATTGTCTACAGTAGTAGTAGTAGTAGTAGTAGATGGTAAATTCAATGATTGATAAGTAAGTGAACGATTCACAGTTGTGGTTAACATTTCACTGGATAAAATTTTACAAGAAGAATCTATTGTCATGATTAGATTAAGTATAGATTTTGTGTTTACTGATTTTATATAATAAAAATATATTTATATATGTATATGTGGTGTATGTATATTTATATATATTGGCTCCAGTACATATTACTCTAATGGTTGCCTAGTGATAAATATATATATATACACATATATATATATATATATATATATATATATATATATATATTTATAACCAGGATCCATCGGAATACTGATCAGCTGATTTATAAGGACTTAGAATATTGTTAGGTCATTTATTTATTCAATATTTAGTTATTCAACACAAACACAATGACTAGTTTAAGCAAATTTGCAAAGAA